TAGCATCTTAGCTGAGTTGGTACTTGTATGTCTCATCAAAATTAATCTGACTAGGTGAACAAACCCCTCGTGGATCGTGGAGCAAAAGTGCAAAAGCTTGCTTGATTTAGGAAAAGATCTGATATATGATCAGATTTTTCCATAATCTGAAACGTTGATTATATAATTTTGGCATCATAGATGAGTCGGTACTCGTATGTCTCATCAAATTTTCAGATCAGATTAATCTGTCTAGATGAACTCAAAATCTAATATTTGAACAGATTTTGCCATAATCTGAAATTTGTTGATTTTATCATATCGTCACCATAGATGAGTGATCTGATTAATCTGACTGTGTGAACCTCCTGTTGCCTTCGCCCTTTTCCTTCTCTCATGTGTATCATATACGTCACTGTATAGGTCAATACACTGTAATAAATAAATAAATAAACCGTTGACAATTCCATTCATAATGAAAAGTTGTGTGTACATTCTCCATACGTTAATATTGTTGCTATCTTTACAGACATTTATTTATAACCAAATCAAACATTATCTTTTTAATGTAGGTTATTTGTTGTGTATTTTTTTTTTCCACATTTTAAACTAGTTTTATACATGCAAGATGTTTTTTGTGTCAGGTATGAAAACGGCCTTGGGTATTAATCAAGCTGTAAACTGCTGCTTGAAATGCTCTGACTAAATAATTTTTTCATATTTAAAGAAAATTATCAATACCTGGATCTAATAGAAAATTACCAAAGAATTTTTAGAAAAAGGTACAAAATGGTTGGAAAAATTACATCCAGAATGAAGTTTTTCATTTTCTTTGACTGAAATTGATAGACTTATTTCATGTTGACTTGTACTACACAAAAACGCATCAGCACAATTTGTTCACATTTGTTGTTGAAAACAATTTTCAAAAGGTTAGTAAGAAAATAAATAGCTACATGAATGTCATATGAACACATTTTTTGTGTTTATCTTTTTATTGGCCCCTCTCTGTTGCTATGATAATTATACATTTTGTTCACTGTTAACCAATCAAAATATGCTTTTATAATTACAAGGTCATTCAGTAACATTAGCTGTGATTGGTTGCTTGAATGTGGATACTTTTTGACAAACAAGCTATACTAAATTAGACAATACCAAAGTTTTCTTGAAGTTGATCATAGTTTAGGCTCATTAAGAGTGACAGCCATCACATACTGTCATATTACATATTTTCAAAATTTCTGAATTGTTGATCTATTGATTGAAATTTCTTCAGTTGTGACAAGTTTATTTTTTCCAACTTTGCTTGATTTGTAGTGTTGTCTTTTGCTTTTTTTGGACATTACCTTACTTTTGTTTGTGTATGTTCGAAATGAAAATACATGTACCGGTATATCATTTTACGTTTTAATGAATAGCGTGGTGCATGATGAAGGTAAAGTAAGTACAGTGTGCATGTGTAGTGATAACGTCCTCCATCTTTAATACATTTTTAGAAAGTGCATGCTGTTTTGATGAGTAATCTATGAGGTATCCGTTGAAAATATCAGCTGTTGTGCTTCACCCACCATCCTGGTGAAAAGTACATGTATATCCAACTCTGACAGTTGTACCATACTCTCTACATAATAATCAATAATTTCATGTATACATGGCATATGAGACTATGTGTGCTCTATGTTCTAAAATCTCCAATAAAAATGCATAAAATGTAGCTGAAAAACATCATTAAAGGCGGCAATTCAAAATACTTTTAGTTGAAATTAATTTTCACTGAAAAGTAAGTTTATTTTCACTGATTCATAGTTTCGGCAGAAATAGCGAATATAAATCTATTAAAGTGAAAATAAAGTAATCTACAGTAGTAGGAATGGACCTTATATGCCATATTTGGGTAAAAGACAGTGGTGTTTCTATGGTCATCAGTCATCAAGATCATTTCGAAGATATGACTAATAAAGCAAACATTGGTGTCTGTGGATGTGCATGAGAGGGGGGGGGGGGGTTGTCTCTGAAAAACAGATTTTGGACACCAAACTAAATTGTTATTATCTTTCTCAAAATATTCATGGTCAAACCCTGCATTTT